AAAATGGATGTTGTCTTAACATGGCTTAGAGCAAGTGTAGTTGGTAGGGGGGTGCCTCCTACTACTACTACTACTACTACTACGACTACTACTACTACTTCTACTACTACTACTACTACTACTACACTACAACTACTACACCACTACTACTACTACTACTACTACTACTGCTACGCTACTGCTGCTACTGCTACTGCTACTTGTACTGCTGCTACTGCTGCTGCTGCTGCTGCTGCCACTGCTGCTGCTACTGCGGCTACTACTGCTGCTACTGCTGCTGCTGCTGCTGCTGCTGCCACTGCTGCTGCTACTGCGGCTACTACTGCTGGTACTGCTGCCGCTACTGCTGCTGCTGCTGCTGCTGCTGCTGCTGCTACTACTGCTACTACCTAATACAACACGACTACTACTACTGCTTCCACTCCTACTGCTACTACGACTACGACAATGGCAACCACGACGAGGACTAGGACGAGGAGAGGACGAGTACGACAACGACAACAACCACGATGACGACGACGACGACAACGACCACCGCCAGGAGTGGTCACGATGCCATTCCTCATAGCATTGCGATGCCAAAGGAACGGCAGCTCGAGTGCTATTGTGTCGTGCAGCAATGGCAAAAAACAACATCCTTGGCAGCCGCAGGAATAACCAGGTTATCATGAGATCGTGCAAACATAGAAACCGCAGCGGTGGTGACCGATCATAAGATTGCGGCGGTTCCTGAAGATGAGAGCAAGAATCAACATCATACCAATCCTCGTGGTCCTTTTTGATCATCAACCTTCACCTCGTCATCTTCATCCTCATCGATCGTCATCATTTACACCATCAGCACCATCATCGCCTTCATTAGCATCACTGTCATCCTGATCGTTATTATGATCATCATCGTTGTTCGTAGTCATCGTGCAGACATCGCAAGAATCATAGCGACCCTTGCAGCTGTGATGGAAAGTCCATGAAAGTCCAGAGCATGTCACCTTTCAGTGCCAGGTGTTTCTCGTGTCTGGAAGCAAAGCCTTTGCCGGGTGAGCCGGAACTGTCAGAGGCCCAGGTCTTGACGATGCAGACGCGACCGTTTCTGTTAGCTGTTGTCGCGGTGGCCTGGAGTTCAGCATGTCGGAGGTACTCGATTTAAAACACGATAGGAGCAGAGCTCAGAAATGTGTGCCCCAAAGTTTTGGAAGATATCATCTACGAACAGATTTATACTAGCAGTTGCTGCAAACACCACCAGCTGCTTGGTGGACTAGCCTCCGCCGGCCGCTGGTTTGGTATGAAGGTTGTTGGCAGTTCGTGGATTTCGTCACTTGCGAGGTGCTGCAACACCTGTCAGCAACTCAAGGCCCAGTTGCTGAAGCCATCCATCTTGATTGAGGGGAGTCCAGACAGTCGACACTAGAGAAAGCACAGGAACATTCAGGCAATCAGGTGCCCTCCCAGAGTTAAATATACGGAATTCTCAGCAATTGCCTGTGCATGGGTGCGCCTTGCAGGAAGCCTACCAGGAACTGGGCATTCCGTACTTCCACATCCTTGACACGGTGGGGCCCACGGATTTTGGGTCCACGTTGCTCCATGGTCGGCCCAACCCAAAGCGAACCACCCAGGCGATGCAGTGCCGGAACAGCGTAGGATGCCAAGTTCACGGGGACGTCCGCGTGTCCAAGGTGGGAGGGTCTCGATGCTTCAGACCAAAAATGCCAGTGCTGTAGACACTGTAGACCAATCGGGTGAGCTTTGAGCTGCTCGCCTCACCTCTTGCCAACCCGGAATGTGGGGATTTTTGCAGCTGCAGACGTAAGATTTGGGAAGTTGGAGCTCTTTCAACTTGGTTTGCTCAACTTCAGCAGGTCGGTGGAAACGTTCACGTCGCCCTTGGCAAGTCGACAGTGCTCAGCCCAGGAACATGTCAATATGACGTTTGGTTTGCAAGATCTTGGCACCTGTTGCCTCAAAGATTGAGGGCTTCATCAGCATCCACTTCTGCACCTGAGATCCGGGACGGCAAGCACGTGCATGAGTTTAACCTGAAGGATGTCAGTGACGGGTTCAACACGTCCCACATCATCCACAGACTCGAGTGGCCGCCTCGGTGCGACTGTCATGACTCCAACTCAACACTGCTGTACTAGTGCTGTACTCCTATCTGACCGAAGACCACAGCAGAAGGCATCATGGCAGCTGGTTCCAACAATCTGAGAGCACCTGAGCCACAGGTTCGGGCAGCGTGTCCCTGGTGTCGAGTCGCCACTGGAGGTCACCAGAATAAAATGCAGCATAGACATTGCCCCTGAGTTTTGGTTGTGGCTCGGTTTTCTTTTGTGACTTGAATGTGCAGGGGACGGCAAAAATAGTCGTCAAGGGCGCGTACATGTTCCACTACTACATCAAGCTGGCCAGCCGGGCGTGCTTGACTGCCACGTTGAGTCTGTTTACTGTCCTTGTGGCACACGCTTCCCCTAGAGGTTCCAACTCTTTTCGAGACTGGCAATGGCAAGAGCGGTCCTCGGTGGTGCCAGCGAGGGGACTTTCAAGTACATAGACAGTACATTACAGTAGTCCTAGCAGTCTGCTATCAAGTCACGAAATTAGTGCTGCAGACTTTCCTGTCTTCCCTTTACCCCCGGCAGAGCCTTTTGTAGGGACGGCACCGCGTTGGCGTTGTGGCATGACACTGTATTGTGGGATGGTGTGACACTGCAAGTTTGTACATACTTGAGCAGCTACCGGACGAGATTGCCAAGAAAGGCAGAGCCGAATTGACAAGCACTCGGCACGTGGAGTGTTGTCTCATCCTAGCAGTGAAGGCAAAAAGGCGGTGAGCGACCTGCTGGAGTGCGAATTCGTCTGTCTTGACATGCCAAGGCCGCTGTACACACATCAGTATTCGGCTGCAATCTCAGAGACATGGTAAGCAGTGACTGCCGGCGTCTTTCTGTGGCAAGCCGAGGTTACAGGCAAAGAGAAAGACGTCTTGGTGAGGCAGCGTGTGTACTTCTGTAAGTACAACATGAAAGATGCAGCGAGGCGTCAGCCAGTCGTCAAGCTCCCTGGTTTTGAAGGAACACACCATTGTGCACCATAGATTTTAAGCATTGTTCTGGAGGAGGCTCCTTTCGCAAGCATGCATCCTAACCCTGTACCGAAACCAGAAAGCCTAAGCTGATGCCGTCAGGCAAGGTGAGCTCGCGGGTCTTCCAGGGGTCTTCTTGGTGTACGAGTGAGGAGCCAAGCCCACGGCCGCTCATGGACGTAGGCTGACTCTTGCTCAGTGGCTTCGTGCTTGTTTTTCGTGACAAGGCCAGTCCAGGAGGGGTTTTGCTCGAGGATTTGGATTTTCGATCGTGTACATTGCCGGCACAGGCATAGGGCAGGTGCGGCTCCTGGGAACACTGTGCACGATCGTGATCTAACGAAGTTGACATCGAGACTTCACGAGACTCTGTGGCTTCCCCACAAGTCTATGGGCGTGTGAAGGCTTGTCAGTTTCAAGATGTGAGCTTTCTCAGTTTCGAGGTTGGATGAAGACATGGTGGTCGACCGAAACTTCTCAGTAATGGTCACGGCTAGTACAGTCATTCTCAGAAGTCCGTTCCGACTCCCTGCAAGCCTGCATGTATAAGCAACCCGGCATTCGAGCGGTATGCCCTTCGCGGCCCGCAGCCCGATCAAATCGACGGAAGACGCATTGATTTGACTGAGGTTTACACCCTTCATGGTGCAGAAGACGGAAAAGGCTTGTCCATCCAGTCTCTCACCTTCCCTGAGCTTCCAGTGCACGAGAAATTTCACCTCCCAGTCCTCCCCGGGATGTTCAGGTCTATACTTCACTGAGCACTCAAGCCCAGTCGTTGCAGGACGTGCCATTCACGCACTTCTTAATCTCTGTGTGCGCCATCATCGGTGGCGTGTTTACTGCCTTGGACTGAGACACAAGATGTTGGCCTAAGGTAAAACTTTGACCCTGAAGTGCTGTAAGGTGGCGAGTCTCATCGATGCCATCCTGTACCGCACTGTGAAGAAGCTTGGGAAACCGAAGTCAGTTGCCTGAACAGCGGCATGCCCGCTGAGTGAGACAGTTGCACGGCGGCTGACGCAATCGAGATGCGATGTAGGCAACCGGTCCCCTGCGACCTTTGCTCGTCCGGCTCCCGCTGCGGCCTGCAAAGAGCTTCTGGCGTCTACCAAAGAGTGCGGCCAACAGGCCAGTGTGCGGGACCCCTGGTCGAAATGTGCATTATGTCTAAAAGCTGCCGCTGATGATGAAACTTCCCAAAACGTGGCAACAGCATGGCAGAATGCAGGAGGGAGCATTCGTGACTGATGCTTGCGTCAAGCCACTTCTAGGTCATATCCAGACAGTTGACGCTCTCATGTTTGCCGTCTAGGTTTGATGAAAAAGGATATACCATTCGACCTTTTCTTTCAGGAGCCGCCTCCAAAGGGTTCGCCTGAAATTCCGCAAGCCAGAACCCCTATAGCTTGGTCTCCACATAGCTCCACCCTAAGCAGCGCCATGGCCTGGGTGCTGCCGGTTCTGACCGAGGAGAGCCTGGACCAGATCGCCGCGCACAAGTCTCCAGGAATGAAGTAACTGCCATGTGGTACTGCAGGCCTTCCCCAGGTGTGGATCTAGGAATCTAGGGACTCAGAGGCTTTTTGCATTATTTTGCCTTGGCCAAAGCTCCGTTGAACTGAGGTACAAACCTGGGCACTACACAGCGTTGGACTATGTCTTGAGCCGGCTGTGGGAGGGAATCGCGCAGGCCTGCAACCGAGTAACTCGCGACACCTTGTACGCTGTCGTGCGATCTGCAGGTTCTTTTGTCGGTGTTAGCTGCCTCTTTGTGCAAGTCCGAACAAGGCAGCATTCAGGAGCAACTTGCTGTTTTGAGTTGTGCAGGCCTTGCCTAAATGGCTCGCTCCAAACGCGGCCGTGCACTCAGTGTTTCCCTGATTATATCATTCGTGTACCAACAGTGGCAGTCGTAGCGGTCGCAGCGATGAGGATCTCATTGCGTTGATGGTAGGACTACGGGGCCAGCTCTTTCCCAGAAGACAGAGCACTGAAGGAGTTTGTGTCGATTGTGACATATTGTGACTGTACTCGCGATGTTCCCAAACCAGTTTGCAACTACTTGTGGACGCCTCGGTAATTTCGCCCGTTCTGAATCTACAAGGATCAACCAACGGTCAAAGTTTCCGGACCATCTAGGAGCTTGCGCAGAATCTCAAACCTCGCAGATCACCTTCATCGGCTTCGCACCCCTGGTCTTGGTCTACATTCTCTCCTGGCATACCGGTCCGTTTTGCGATGAAGCACCGCCGGGGGCCTTGGTCTAGGATTCCTTTGGGGTTTCATTTGGCTTCCAGGCTTCCGAATCCTGAGGCCCCGATGGCTGGCCTTGAGCTACGTGGGTGCGCTCTACTTTTACCAGACCATGGATGCAGTGGATGGTAAGCAGGCGCAGCCGTGTTTTGCAAAAAACGCAAAACAAGTCCTCGTCACCAAACCCTGTGTGGAAGGCCCGCCGAACCGGCTCCTCCACTCCCCTGGGCCACCTGGTGGATCACGGCTGTGACTGCCTCACTGGCATGTCTCAGGCAGGATTTTGGGTCCCTCAGCACACAGAGCGCTGTGAATCTTTGCCTCAAGAACGTCAGTTCTTTGATGCATCAAACCGGCAGCATGCTGCGCTGGTGATGATCCTGATGCCTGCCGACATGCACTGGGTTTTTCAGTGCATGCGGTCTATCCAGCCTGGGCCTCGGTTCAGCTTGGGTGTTCACGCGAGTTTTGAGAGCACTCCTCCCTACTCTTTCTGAGTAACGTTCGCTCCCCGCTCGCCAGCCGAGGACTCCCATTTTTCTGGCTGCTTGGCATGACCGCCCGACGGGTTTCAAGCACGCCACCGGTGGCGCTTACCTTTCCAGCCGTGCGATTCCAAGCCAGGACCGCCATGCAGGCTTTTTTCCGACCAGTCTGGGTCCTGCCTGGGGCTGAGCAGCGGCTGAGTATGGAGCTGAGGCTCAGGAACAGCTCTGCAATGTGCCCAGCAATCCGTAGCTCCCTGACATGGGCCTCGAAGTGATGCGGACTTGGGCCCCTCCACTTCGCAGATTGGTGTCACGGAGCTGCAGTACATGCTGATGTCACCGATTCTTCTGACGGCCATCGTTGGCCCGGAGGCGCCTCCACCCGTGTACATGATCGTGGAAAAGCTTGGAGTCTTCTGAGGTAATGGCATTTCGCACTGCTTGTAGTTATGGCTTTGGGACTATGGTTTGCCGGTAGCTCGCACCCGGAGCTGTCGTTTGCAGTCAGGTGTGGCAGAGATGGATGACAGCGACGGTGGAGCTGCCCTGGGCATCTGAGACCGTTCGAATCTTGATCGTGAAGGCAGAAGCGCTCCACTGTTATTAATGGCATCTTGTTTCGCTTGGCTTCAGCGGCCCTTTTTGCGTCTGGTCTGGGGTCTGTTGGGGCCTCCCCATCTTACTCTTCATACTAGCGCGGAATATGGCAGTGAAAAGCACAGTTGCACCATGAAGAGCAGAAAGTTCATGACATGACTCTTAAGTTTGGCATTTTAGGCGTGAAGACCATCTGTCCACAGGCTTGGCTGCTCCAATCTCTTGTGATGGCCTTGTACCTCATTGCGGCGTGGCTCTGCAGAGGGTTTCGGGTTTTGATCGCATTGTCTTCTGGCCGTTTGGAACCTTGAAACCCAGGCCAGAGTGATGAGCACTCTGTGTACCAGCAGGGGAATTGCCGGCGTATCCGCACTGAAGGACGAGTGGCTTATGGAGGGGTGGGGTAGGCGATGTGCGAGATTCACGCTGAAAATCCAGCAAAGAGGGCCAGGTAGAAAGGGGCTTTCGGCTTTCGTGTCGGCCGCCAAAGCCAGCATCCCAGGCGCCAAACCTTCAATGTCGAGTGCAACTGGTCCCAATGCTGGGGCACAGGTAGTGCCATTGCAGTCAGTGGTTAAGTCGGAGCTGGCGTGTGCAACATGCCCCCTTGAAATGCTGGAACTGACATGCATTTGTCATCATCTGTCATTGCTGCCTGCGCCATGCGTAAACCAGCTGAATGTCTGAACTGGGGTAGCCGCATGGTCCTAGTACCTGCGCACTGTTCACGCATCTTTGGCTTTACGGAAGGACCTGTTTCCTGTCCTACTGTTGAATGTGCTGCTCGGGCTTTGGCAGCCTGGTTTGGTGGCAGCCGCAGGGCGAATGATCAGCCTCTTCACAGGCCTGCCTCTTGGCTGCCTTAACATGCTCATGTCTTTGTGCCGTGCATCCCCAATGCATCGATAGCATCCCGCTCCTGCTGTGCCGACAAGATTTAGGGCAGGTCGAGGTAGGTCACTAGATTTTCTTGATGCCACGAATGTGTCGAAGAAAGGTTGAAGCATTCAGTTCAGAACATCACAGCGGAAGGTTTTGGTGCTCTGAAGGTCAATCTTCTGGATGAATGTGATCCGCGGCTGCAGAAAGATGCTGGCGGTTCGCATTTGGGACGCGCATGAGCCTTGTGATGTCTGACGTCTCCAGAGTCCCGCTGATCTGCAAAGAATGCGTAGCACAGGGCTGCGGTCTCCCTTCTGACTTGTGCTCTGTGCCAAGGCAGATGATCGTCTTCACCATGGCCGGGACCTGCCAAGTGCAAGGGCGCCAGCGTTGAGTTTTTTTTTTTTGACGTGCAGCGCAGTGATTTCCAGGACGGAGTTTCCATGGCTCCAGTGGTCCCCGCTCCTCTACGCGGCGAGCTTAATTTGCCAGTCACTTTGGAGCTGAAGGCTCTCAAATTTCAGAAACCGCGTAACAACCGACGAAAGTGGAAACTGCTCAAACAAGAGCTTCGGGCTTCTCTCCGGCTCTGTTAGGAACCAGCGCGCTAGTGTTCTTGCGTGTGCTCGAAGCCTTTGTAGCCCAGGCCAGCGCTGTAATTGCCTCCTGGGCTTTGCCGTTGGAGTTCTCGCGGCCAGTTCTCTGCTGCTTTACTGCTGCAGGGAGCCCAAACGGAGACTTCAGAAATGCTGCATAGCGTGTGCCAATGCGTGTGCAAGGGATGCTCTGCAGCTCCCAGGCCCTTGGCCTTGGGCTTCTGTGGTGGTTGCTGTCGGTTGTGGAGCAGATCAAAGCGAAGCTGGGGATCTATGCCTTTTGCATCACCGAGAAGTACCAAGCGAGGAATGGTACCAAGAAGCACTCTTGACTGACCTGAGCGCGCGATGGGATCCAGGATGAAGCTCTGGTGATCGCCAGAAGGCGACCCAGCGAGTTCTCCGATTGGAAACTCTTGCTTGGCTTCTGCAAACGCAGATCTTGGAACCGAAAGAAGAAATGCACTGCGGGATCATCATGTGTCG